TTTTAAAAGGATGGTGGCAGTAAATAGTAAAGAAAATACAGTAGGTGTAAAGAGAACGACGATGTTGCTATCAAAGATATATAATGGCGGAGTTAATCATGGAATAATGAAATAGAGGCGGATCAATGTTAATAATATCAAGAAAGGAGGGTAAAGAATACGAGAATGTAATAGCCTGCGGTAGACCAGCGGACTATAGGTACCCCGTAATGATAATTAGTGAGAGTATCAGGGGGGTTGGTAGTCGGTAGTAAAGGTGCCCTCATCACAACAGAAATATGTTGTGCGCGGGGCCTAAAAACCCCTTTATCACTTTACCTATTTAGTTTTGATAAATCGATTATACTTTCGTTTATCAGGTTCGGACAAACCTTTGACTCCGATCCCAAGTGATAGATATCAGATTTGTCACTTTGTCAAAGGAACCTTTACCAGCTGTCCTTCATCCTTGTTTGCCGATTAAGCTTCTCTTTTTTCGAGTATAAAAGGCGTGAGCCTCGCCTTACAATTAACGACAGCATTAAAAACCACTTTCCTTATTTTCGACCGAATTCGACACGTAACTTTTAAATATCCCCATTTATTACAACGTACTTGAGAGGCTGAACTGCTATTGTTCACCGCAAATTGTAAAGCGGGCCGAGATGTGAAGACCGGTTCCGCTTTCAAAAGAACCTTTGAGACGAAGAGGAGTGTTCGGAAATATACAGTCGGAACTGGGGTATCCGAATCTGTAGCACCAAGAGAAATCAGACAACTATTATAGGAGTTGCCGCACAAAGAAAACCTACAACGTGTAATGGTAAATGAGCTTAGGGGAATATTGATACTAGGTTTTACTTAGAGCAATAGTGCGGACGGATGGCACTATGGGACAAGAATACAGAAAAAAGCTGCCGGGCCCTGTGTTGCATACTTGGGCCCGGCTTATATACTATGGCTGAATATAAATGATCTACGGTTATTGGTTAAGGGCCTGGCTAGGCCCCCATCTCTCCCGGACCTCTTCCAGAGGTCATTCAATTCTCTTTTTGTCTTTTCTTTCATTATGTGTATAGGCGCGGCCTATTACAGCTCTTCAAAGGGAGAAGCCATGCTTAGCTTCACAGAAATGTGAAGGCTACCTAGATATTAGACCCTAAGGTCAGATATTTCAGTAGCCTAATCACAATCTTAATAGGTGGGGGGGGATGAGCTTCATTAAAGGTAGACATACTTGGGACAAGGAAAGTACAAATGAAACCAAGGGAAACTCTAAAGGGTTGCCTGGAGGCAAGGCAGGGGAAACACTCCCAGAACATAGAAGAGTAGATGCTCAGGGTATATATATGATAAGGTAAATACCCAAATGATAATGGCATTGATAATGCCTGCAATTACTACCACTTAATCCCAGGTGGCAAGACAAAGGTTGCTGGGACAGAACAATGGTCTCTAGAGGACATGACCTCAAGAACAATAGGACAACCATCTAGATGTCTCTAGGAGGTGGGTCTCATGACCATATGACCAAGGGCAATGTAACCTAAAGTGCTACTGCCAGGGTAGGCCAAGGGTAGCTAGTGAGGGGGCCTATGCAGGATTTCCCATACACTACAGTAGAATTTCCCATGCTATACAGGGGGACCTCTATATATGGGTGGGCAGCAGTGGATACCTTGCAGATGCCATTCTCACAAGTAGCAAGGCTGTTATACCAAAACAAGACATACTGGCGGGTATATCAAGTGGTAAAGAACCTTCAAGAAACTTAACAAAGTGAGGACTCTAAAGAAATGTAGTCAGTGTGGTGTAGTTGGTTATCACGTACGCCTCACACGCGTAAGGTCTCCGGTTCGAGCCCGGACATTGACACTTTTGCCCCTCACCACAGTATATACGGATTGCGTTGTGAAAGCCATGTCAAAGTACAAGTACAAACCATTTCCCAATGCATAGTCTACTGGAACTGAAGCAGAGGAGCTAACTGCCACCACTAGATATTGGTAATCCCTTGGTGGCTAGAGTCAAGGTAATTGGGCTGCTGGTGCAGGATAATGAGGTGTTGGACTCAATAAGGAGGTGGAGATTGAGAGGGGGTCCATGATGTGGTAAACTGGAATCTAGATTGATTAGAACAGTAATTAACTGCCCTTTACAGTAAGCTTACAAAGATATAATTACCTCTTCTTTAGTCTTGAAGGCACAGTTGCAGTGATGACACCCCTGTCTGGGCTAATATGAGCTTTGCTGTGAATCAAATTACCCACCCAACGCCTAGACAATTTCTGATACCATGATTTTTCTGTCTGTCCTGCTCTTTCTCCTATATTTTTTTCATGATGTTTCCAATTCCCTTTCTTTACAAACTGCCTTAGCAATGTAAAATCTGATAACAATGGTCCAAGGCATATGTAATGGCTTCCAACCAGCAGCCTTGCACAAACTCTGGACAATCTTTTAGTACTCCTCATTTATGGTCTTAATGTGGTATGATAAAAAGCCAGGGTATGAATACATTAGGATAAGGTGAGATTGTACAATGTCTATATTATGCAATGTTTTCTATGACTTATATAGATAGTTAATTTGCATGGTACATGCCAGGTGTGCTGATATTAGGCCCAAGTTTAATACCATAACCAAAAGGCTTTTCTACTATCACAGAATTTATGGTTCTGAAATAGTAGACTTGGACTTTACCCTGAGACAATCTAATGTAGTGGTTCCCAATCACCACACCAGGGTCCTGGCCTTGGCAAGGCTGTACAATGAACAATAAACTGATCTACTAAGTGGCAGAATTTGCAAGGGGGTAAAGGAGGTAGTTATGGTCAGAATAGTTGCTGCTTCATGATAGCATTGGGAACAGTGACCTCTCACCCAGATTGGCAATATGATAATGATTAGCCAAGTTAGTCAATGTTGTACTTTGCATTCCTTTCATAATGATACAATTGGTCTTATGCTATCCTGCCTTTGCTGTCTACCCACCTTTTCTAGGCTATGTTCTCTTTATGCTTTTCCTTATGGTGTTTCACATGGCTGCTGCTGCCCAATGCCATATGGTCATAGTGATTAGAAGGAATATAAAAGACCAATCTGCCAGCCACCTCAATTAAATGATAAACTGACATGTAGCCTTTACCTTTTTTATATTGTATTATCACCTCAGAGCTTTATATTATTCCACAAATGAATTGCCTTGAATACACAAATTATTGCCCAATAGTAGTAGGAGGGCCTCAGCCTGCTGGAACACCCCTGAGTCCAAGAAGCCAACCAGCACAAGGACCATGGTGATGGGGAGTGCAAACAGGTACTATACGGCCTTGGGGTGCACAGTATACTGGTGCTTATCTATTAAGGACTGGTTGAGGTTCACATTATCCTTAGGAGTGGTGATGAGGTGGAGCCTTTAGGACAGTTCAGCCTTGGATTTCTTATTACGGACTAGCTTAACTAGGTAAGTAAAGAGCAAATTGGCACACAAGTTGTTGTTTTTTAGAATTAAGTAGACGTATGTCTCCATAATGAATGTATTGTTATTGCAACTGTACCAACCTCCAGCTTATAATAGCATTGTGGTTGTCCTTGATGGAAAATGAATGCATCTATGGCATTGTTCAAGATGCAAAAAGCCTCAAGGAGTCCAATGCACCAGCCCAGGATGGCAGTCCACCTACAGTTGGTAGTGGTCAGTTCAGGTTTAAGCTGGGTACAAAGGATAGCCATAGCATAAGTAACCAAGAAACTGCAGTTTACTTTACAACCCTTGACATTATTCCCAAGTGCCTGCTTGGTCCTGCCTTCCTCACAGGTGAGCCTCAAGCCTGTCAAAGTTTGGAAGAAGAATAGTCAAGGGCCAGGGGAAGAAACCAATGTATTACTGCTTACATGTAGTCCTGGCATGGGAGGTAGGAAACCAGGGGGGGTAGATTGGTGTAGTGATAAAATATAAGAAGATAACAATTATTTTACTAAGGGATTCCTTCACCAGCTTATATTGCCAGTGGGACTTGTGGACATGGGTTAAAACATTTTTCTGGTCACTGCTAGGTGTTGCCTAATTGGGAGGGCAAATAGAACTTGTTCTAGTTTGTAAGGTGGAAAAAAGTTGAAATGCTGCTGAATAGAAGTCAGGTTTTGGTGAAGATGGTAGTGGTGGAGATGAACTTGGTGACTTGCTACTTCACTGATTAGGCAGTAAAGTCAGTGGTGGCAGTTTGGAGTGTGAGATGAATGGGTGGCTTCTGCAAGGAGCTACTTGACAACCACACATGGCATGAAAAGGAAAAATTAATAAAAGTTGAATATATAAGGTAGGGGGACAAGGCCAATAGGCAGTTGCTGTCAACCATTGACTGGGGCAAAAAGTGCATTCTGCAAATACAGTGGCAAGGATGTAGAACACTTACCTAGGCTGATAGATGACCATATAGGAAACCTCTCTACCCCAGCACAACACCAACACAGCCTAGATGCCAGCCTTTACCATATTGAGAGTTCCAAGTTGGTATCAATAAAGATTAACAGCAGCCACTCATTTATTTAGATTGGTAGGACCATTCCATGCCTATCACAGCCACACAACCCCACCAGAACATTCCTTAATCTCCAACTTTCCATTGGTTGATATATGTTGTTATTACACTGCCTTGATTCTTCCAGAATAACCAAACTTAACACATGTGCAAACAACAGAACTCCCCATCTTGATGAGAGCTCTTGAATTCCGACACAATGGCATCCCCCTAGTATCCTTTCCTATATCAGCACTTACGACCATCCAAACTCAACAGATACAAGGCATTTCAAAAGTTGAGAGGCTGGTGTATATTGAATCTGTACTAGGTTAACAAAATTGACATACATTGTACAGTCTATTTACAGCGACAATTTGTCCTCAGCAGGAATGGGAAAATTTTAGTTGCTACTTGCATATATACCACGTACATCAATACGACATAGGCACCAACCCAAAACGATACTTGTGCTATAAGTGCTATAAACAAAAAGATTGCCTTCTACCAGAATCGAACTGATGACCTTGTGCTTACTAGGCACACGCTCTGCCAACTGAGCCAAGAAGGCCCATGTTTACGTGCAGCCGAGCACGGCTTCTCCCTTTAAGGAGCTGTAATAGGCCGCGCCTATACAACCGTTAAAAGAAAAGAAAGGAAAGAGACCGGGCGACCTTGGGGAGAGGCCCGGATGAGGCGGAGGACCAGCCAGGTCCTCCACCAATTAGCGTAGATCATCTATTATAGTTATAGTACAGGTGCCTCAAATAATTGTGAGGTTTTTGAGTGGGAGGCCTCAGATCGCAGTGTTTCAGATGAAACCTAAGAGAGTCAATGATGCTGAGTCGATTGGTATAAACCACTCCAGGATTGAACCATTTTTGACTTCACAGCTTGCTTTTTTAACCGTCCATCATGTCTACTTCTCAAACCCCCTCCCCCACTCCACCCAAGTTTACCAGGCGTGATGTGCGGGTCCTCATTTATAATTACTATCTGGAGGACCGCAAGGCAGATGATGTTTTTAACATTTTGACATCCAAGCTGGGCTCAGCTGCCCCTAGCCACTCCACCATCTACAGGTGGCTGGCTTGCTTTTGCACAGGTCACTGCTCTTTTGCAGATGACCCTCATTCTGGCCGCCCATCAGATGACATTGGTGCATATTATGGGGACATAATCCTGAGGTGGCTGGGGGAAGACCCTCGACTTACTGTTGAGCAGTTGGCCTGGGCCTGCCACACTTCCCCTAGTACCATACGCAATGTCCTGCGCAGGGACATGGGGTTGCACAGCTATTTCAATTGCTGGATCCCCCACAACCTCACCAACAACCAGCGCCACAAGCGGGTACATTTTGCCACTGAGTTCCTGGAGAAATTTGATGGGGCCAATGACTACCTACTGGACTCCATTGTCACAGGTGACAAGACTTGGGTGTACCTTTATGATCCTCCTACTGGCTCCAATCGCCAGAGGTGGTGCCCTAAAGGTGGCCCTATCCCAACTGAGACCCGCCAAGGTTGTACCACACCCAAGGTGATGTTGACCATTTATTTCACCAGGCGTGGCCTATTACACCTGAGCGTCATGCCCCCAGGTGTCAAGGTCTCCGCCAAACTCTATGTAGAGTATAGGCTGAAGCCCATGGTCCAGGCCTGGGTGGAGGCACGTGGAAGTCTGGACCATCACCCCCTGCGGCTTCACCATGATAATGCACCACTGCATTGTGCTGCAGCTACATAGGCCTACATTTCCAACTCTAAACTCAAACTTCTGCCAGCCCCTCCTTACAGTCCTGATCTGGCCCCCTGCGACTTCTGGCTGTTCAGGAATATCAAACAGCGGCTGAGGGGCAAGAAGTTCAGCACAGTGGAGGCGGCCATGGACGCCTGGCAATTGCAGTTAGCCAGGCTCCAGCCAAATGACTATAGATCCTGTTTTGATAGATGGATAGAAAGAGCTCGCCAAGTGGTACAGAGTGGTGGAAGCTTTATTGAATTAAACTAATTTGACTTAGAAATCCTCACAATAATTTGAGGCACCTGTATATAAGCCAGGCCAAAGTATGCAACACAGGGCCTGGCAGCTTATTCCCCAATTCCTATCCCATAGTGCCATCCGTTGGCACTATCTTGCTAGTAAAGTCTATTACCAATATTCCCTTAAGCTTGCTTGTTGGTAAACATTTATAGATTTTATTTGAGGGTTTCTCCGTCAATAGTTAACCTACTGAACTTTGCGTTACAGATTTGGACAGCGCTGGTCCAACTGTATATTCCTGAACTCTCTACTTTGACCTGGAGGTTCTTTCAAAGGCGGGACCAGCTTCCAGATACTGGCCCACTTAACATTTATTGTGATGCCAACACCCGCTTTGCCTCTTGAAGGCATCTAATGGGCACACCAATATGGGGAAAGCATTAACAACTAACTAACCACTTGTGGGGGGGGGGAAAGCCAAGAACAAGGTTTAAGATTACACAAGGGATGCAGGGGGATGTAGATCCTTTCCCCACTCATGAGTATAGAAGCAAGCCCACGCAGTTAGGCAAGGGCTCACCAGTCAATTTTCAGTTTTTGATATTTTGAGTACAACTTTATTTATTCTATTTTTATTCTGGTAGTAGTCAGATGCCGCAACAGTCCCATACTATTTATGTTAACAGCTTTAGTAAACAACCCGCCTTTTGCCATTTTTTCCCTTGACTTGCCATTGGGCACAGACTGTTGTTGCGTACAGCCCAACCAAAGACCACCATCTAGGGCCTAGCACCACATTATGTGGAGCCCTCACTTTGTTGGGTCTCCTGAAGGTTCTTTACCACTTGATATACCCACCAGTATGTCTTGTTTAGGTATAATAGCCTTGCCACTTGTGAGAATGGTATCTGCAAGGTATCCACTGCTGCCCACCCATGTATAGAGGTCCCCCTGTATAGCATGGGAAATTCTACTGTAGTGTATGGGAAATCCTGCACAGGTTTCCTCACTAGCTACCCTTAGCCTTCCCTGGCAGTAGCACTTAAGGATACATTGCCTTTGATCATATGGTCATGAGTCCAACCCCCTAGAGACATCTAGATGGTTGTCCTATTGTCTAGACTTGTTGCTGACTAATTATGCAACCTGTCCTATTGTTCTTGAGGTCATGTCCTCAAGAGACCATTGTTCTTGTCATCCCAACCTCTGTGATGTTTCCCTGGGTTAAGTGGATGCTGTGGCAGGTAATACTAGTGCCTTTTCCACTTGGGTATTACCTCTACAATAGATATAGTTGGCGCCTTAGTAACTCTAAGTTTGGGGAGTGATTCCTACGTGATGCTCCTGGGTACTCTCTAGCTCATTATATCCAGGTTGTAATAGTGACGTCATAATACTAATCCCAGGCAAAGCTGACTGTCATCTGAGCAAAAATTAAAAGTTGCGGCACCAACTATTCCCAAGTGGTCACCCACCTTAGTACTAAATTGGCTGATTGGCCCTTAACTTCGCA